CTCTGTATGCCTGTCAGACACTGGTGCTGGGAGATGTTAGATTTCTTGGGCTACTTTGAATCCCTGAGGTGAGGAAAAGTGCAGTTTCTGGGGTTTTTTTTCCTTTTTTTCTCCTCTACGCATCTTAAAGGTGCTGTTGACATTTGCCACCTTCTTTGAATTGCCTCAGTCACCGTCCTCATTCTCCACTGACTACAGAGAAAGACTGGCCATTCTAGTTGTTCTGATGGTCACTCAGATATTTCCTGATATGGCAGAAAATATGAATTAAAACTAAGAAAAAAACCCCACAAAAAAAACAACAACAAAACAAACCAAAACTAACAAACATTCCCCCCATCTCCTCCACCCCCAGTTATTAATTAAGTGCCAGCATGCAGGAAATAGTAATGATTCTGAGCTCTTTCTTGGATCTTTTTGAGGCCAGAAATATACAGGCTAGTGAAGCCCTTTACTCCTGAGCAGGGGAGCGATGGTTTTTGTGTATGACGAGTTTTCAGGAGGTGTCTGGCAGAGAACTCTGGTGGGGCAACTTAATGAGAAAGAGGTTCAGCAAGTAATTTATTGCAAGTCTGCTGTATTCAGAAATTAATTAAAGGGGAAATAAAAGTGAAAGGAAATAAAAGTGAAAAATACCCATGGAGTGTGGTTTGTGAAGTAGTACTCAACAGGCAAGAGCTTGTGTGAAGATGTCCAGCAGAGGAGGTGCCACACAAGAAAGCCAGTCTGTTTTCCTGTCTGGTGATGCAGCTTAAGGAGTCCCTAATCTAATTATTGTTAGTTCTAGTTGTTCATTCTTGCTTGTCTTGCAGCATCATTTGACAGTAAGAAGGAAGGATGGATGGACTGAAAAGGAGAATCTGTTTCATAGGATTTCCTTTTTTCTTTTTTTCTTTTCTCTTTTTTTTTTTTTTTAAGGTTAGTACTCAAACCACAAAAAGAGTCACAGAACCACAACCTTAAAGGCAGGTGCAGAATGCTTAGTAAAAGTTTGCACTGACTGGTTTGCACTTGTTGAGTCATGTCTACTTGGATAGCACTTACCACTATGGAATCCTGAACCATGGTAAGCCCTTCAGGTATTTTCTATGGGGTTTGTTTGTTTGTTTTTAGAAAACAAGTTCAAAATTACGTTCTCTGCTTGCCAAACCTACAAGAAAAGTAATTTTTAAGAACTATTCAGCACGTGCATCTCTGAACTAAGAGTAAAGTTTCAGTTAAAAGTAATGCTCATTTGTGTTAAACTAGAATAGCCTCTTCTTTAAGGAACGTAGCTGTAGTACAGCTGCCCAAGTACAGCCTGCACAGGTTACATTATACCTAGCTTGGGCCAGGCTAAATGATAGGTATAAATCAGTGCTTCTCTGGTGTAGTTTGAACTTTGTTTTCTGTGTAACTAAGATTTCCTTTAAAAGAAAGCTTGGGAGGGGGGGGGATAGTTTTCTGACTTAAAGTGCCATGCCATCTGTTTGTGTTTTCCATTGCTGGTACCACTGTGTTTTGGGGCAGTAAGGAGACTGGTGTAGAGTCTGGTGTGTGTGTCCCCATGCCCTCTCACTTCCCATTTTTGAAATAAAATGTCAAGCACTGGGGTGAGGAGGAGCACCTATTCTTTGCTTTCCTGATAGTTTGAATGTTACCATTCTGTAGGGTGAAAGTCACAAGAGCCTGCTTCCTCTCTATGAATTGGAAGCAGAGCTAGCCCCTCCTGAGATGCTTTACAGAATTGAAGCATATTTCAGCATAAGAACTAGATGCTGCCTGACATTTAACACCATACTGCAGCTCAGCTGCTTTTAGACCTATCTGAGTCGTTCCTCATGCTGTGAAAATACACCATGCTGTTTTGTGTACTGAGAGTTCTGAAGTTCTCAATACACAGTGGTATTTTGGAATTCAAAGATTTCTTGAAACTCAGGGGTTTGACATTGTGATAAGCTGATACTAAAGGATAAGGCTCTTCAAAATAATAATTTAAAAAAATCGTGGGAAAGAAAAAACCCAGTTATTTTACCCATGTTATGGTTTTGGTGTATTCTTTTTTTCTCTCTCATTCAGCAGCACCTCCTGGGTCTGCAGCAGCAGGTAGCCTAAGAGGCTACCTCTAAAGCCGTACTTACATCAATTGCTGATGTTAGGGCACAAACAAAGATGGAGTGTTCAGTAAGACAAGGCTCTATTGAAGTTACTGCTAATAAGAAACCCAGCTATGTTCACTTCAGTCCCATTCAAAACACAGGAAAAGGATCAGCCTTTGCCAGACTTGAAAGGCTGAAATTATTACAGAGGATAAAAACGATTTACTTCAAGTGGGCGTAAAACATATTTTCAAAATAAATACTGAAACCACACTTGCCTCTTACCACATATATTAATCATAATCTGTGTGGGCATGAAATATAGAAAGTGTTCAGCTTTATATTCCTTCATTTTATAAATGCAGGTTTGTTCTAACTAGCATTTAACGTAAGCAGTGCTTCTTAAGCACCAGCTTAGATGCCAGATACAATGTGCCTTCTCACTGTGAAGTGTTACTCCATTGTAGCTTAGTTTTCTTAGCAAAAGGGCTTGCCTCATAGTATTTTCTTAATGCTTATAAACCCCCAAACCCCTGAAGTAGTCATAACTGTGATTAATATGACTATTTGGTTTTGAATTGTTGGACCTACACTTCTTTAAAAAGAAACAGTAGTGAAATAGCTTTTGATACTTCTGTCCAATCTCTAACATAATGTGATATTGTGATACTGTAGCGAGTTGTTTTCTTGGTTTACTACGTTTAAGTGCTGTAGTGCTGGATTCATCATCTATTGCTTTATAAGCACAGCTCTTTAAGTACTGGGTGAGCCTTCTGACAAGAGTTACTCCAGTGATGTCATATGCTTGAGTTCAATGTTCTCACACAGGTGAGATAGTGTCCTACAGGTATAAAATGTGGCTGCTTCCCAGCAGTTATGTAGCTTGTGGAGTTGTTTGTTGTTGTTTGTGGGTTGTTTGGTTTGGGTTTTTTTTGTTTGTTTGTTTGCTTTGCTTTACTTTGTGGTGGAATTTGTGAGGGTTTTTTTGTTGTTCTTTGGGGGGCTGTTGGGGGTAACACCATAATACCTTTGTGTAATACTTCTGTACTTACACTGATCCATGTAAAAGCCAAACTGCTCGAGCCTGGCCTTATTTGCACATGGTAGAGCTCTGCTCACGTTTTAGAGCTGGAAATTAAATTTGGGAAACTTCCCTCCTAAAAATGGGTGTATTTCTGGGGGAGCTGCTTCTCCTCTGTACTGCAGGGAGATCTGCCTCCATCTTCACCTGCCTGCATCCTGAACTGGGTCTGCTCAGGGCACAGCAGCAGTGATTGCTTGTTGAGATGTTTGCCACTGTGCTGTGGTCTGGGGTGGGCTGCCACCATCCTCACCCTGCTTTTCTCTCTTTATTCTGCTTATCTGCATTGCTGAGAGGACAAAGCTAATGCAATAGGATTATTTTATTATTATTATTTGTAAGTCAGATGAACCTTGGGTTTTACACCATTTTGTGACTCTTCTAGTCCTCTGGCTCCTGACTAGATTAATTATCATTCAGTTAGAGCCCATATGGCTCCATTGCTGAAGTAGCAATGACAGAGTTGTGTTGGTTTGGTTTGGTTTGGTTTGTTTTTCTCTTGCTTTCTTGCCTTAAATATAGTATTAGTGGGGTCTCTGACGTGTTTTCTGGTACTATTATGCAGCAGCGAGATCTACATCCAAACCTGAGGTGATCCTATCACATTTAGCATGTTGTTTGGCAGTAATGGAGTTTATTTTACATAAACAATAATGTTTACCTGTAATGGAGTATGTTAAGAGAATAAGCAGTCCACGGAGATCAAACTTGCCAACCTTGAAACAGTAATTCCTAGAAAGAGATGCTGAGTGCACCATGGAACCCCTTTTTCTCTGCACAGAGATGCTCTGTGAGGAAGAAGTTGGGCTGGTGGTCAGCTGTGCTTGTACAGTCAGCATTCATTCAGGATTACTTGAGGAGGCAAAATAATGCTCAAGCTGGGTCCTTGCGGACTCTCAAAACCCAGCAGAGTTTATTAGCTTGGGCCCAGTGCCAAGTAAATGCAACTGCAGCTCCCAGACCAAGTAGGATCTGCTGTTTTGGCATGGAGTCCCAGCTGTTAAAGCCTGCCAAGTGTGAAGGGTGCAGACCTGGGTCCAGCACTGTGCTCAGATAAGGGAACTCTCAAAAGGCATTGTGCTATCTGACTATGGATCAGCTTGGGACCATCAGGGCTCATTAGATCAACAACAGTTTTGGCCCTGTTAACCTTAAGCTTGCATCTGTGCCTGGTCTTTTTTTAAGGTTGGGGTTGTTTTTTGTTTGGGGGGATTGTTTTTTAAACTCCAAGTTCTGGGGAAATCTGTTAGCTTGGTCAGCCCCAGTCTCAGCTACGACTTTATGTGCATGCAACATAGCGTGTAAGGAGCTTCTTGGAAACAGACTGCAGAGACACTGAAGCTGCTGAGCAGGAACCAGCTCAGGGCTAGCACTGAGTCAGAGCTGCTAGTCTGATGATCTTAAATTAATTTCTCTGAGCTGTGATTCCCAGCACCTTTTGCAGTGAAACAGTATACAAATGTTTCCACTGCCTGCTTCCTCACAGCCTGTGAGTCATGGTAGTGGAGTACTGACCATTACATCCAGAGCATGGAGCCCTAGGTGGCTGTTGGTAGTTGAGACTTGTGTATTGGTTTTACTATGGTACATACACTGAGACTATACATTTAATAACTGCAGTTGTCATGAGGTAATTATCTTTTCAGTTTGGATTTGAAAATACTATTTGGAAAAACTGCAGTGTGCTTGGACTAAGTCAAAATAATGTTAAGATTATATGGTTGATAGTCTGTGGATTGTTACAGTACTTGACATTAAATTTCCTCACAGAATTCACAAATACTTGCTTCACTCTGCCAAGCAAAAGATCCTTCAGCTTTTCTGGGTTTTTTCATATACAGGTGCAGCTGGGACAAGCGGATATAAAATGCCCAATCACAGAATGCAGCGAGCACCTGGATGAAACAACTGTCCTCTATAACCTGCCCCATGACGACATCATCAAGTATAAGTATTTCCTGGAACTCAGCCGCATTGACTCCAGCACCAAGCCATGCCCTCAGTGCAAGCACTTTACAACCTTCCGGAGGAGAGGCCACATTCCTACCCCTGCCAAATTGGAGAACAAATACAAAGTGAGCATGCTTGCCAAGCCTTGTGTTAGATGGCACCACAGAAGTAGGGCAGCATTTTGTGGGCATTAAAAGAGCTTTCTTGCATCACTGGGCTACATGCAAGCTGTGATTAGGAATATGAATCCATAGTACATCATTGATTAACTACTTAATAGATTTCTAACAGTTCAAGCAGTGGAACTTCAGCCCTTATTTCTTCTGTATTGTTAAAAAAAAAAAGAACAAAAAACAACAAAAGCTCTAATAAAACCCCAAAACTTTTATAGCATTTCTTTTAGTAGATTTTCTTCTACTGTGATTTCAGTCAAAGATGAAAGGCAAGAGATTGCAGTTAGAAGAAGCTTTAAGCTGCTGAAGGTCCGTCTCAGTTCCACAAGGCAACGGTTCTGTCTGCAGCATTGTGCTCTCTGGTTGTTACGTTTTCCATCTGGTTACTAGATTTGTTGTGTTTAATTTCACGATTGAGCTGTCCTTTCCTGGACAAACCGGTTCTCCCCAGCAGGAGTTCAGATAACTGTTTAGATAGCCCTAATTACACAGCATAAGATTCAGCCCAGTATGGAGATTAAATGTAGAAGGTTGTGTATCCAGTGGAACTGAAACCTTGGTAAATCTAAGTCTGAGTCATGAGCTACTGATGTGTATCTACAGTGCATGAATTGCATGCTGTGCTGTCTGCTGGACTCAACATTTTCACTTTTTTGGCCTCTTACATGGAGGTGGAGAAATGCACACAGCCATTCGCCTTCACCCATCCACTTAGCATTCCCTCAGATGTAGACAGGGTATAGAGCCCAGGGTAGATCAGAGGTGGTAATTTTCCTGCAGCAGCCTTTCTTAATGTGCCAGAAGCTGTTACTGTCCCACCAATGTGGGTCACATGTGGTCTGGTGCAGCCTATCGTGGGCATGCCAACTTTAAGAACATTTCTCAAAGTGCGAAATGGGGTGTCCTGACCATGAGTTACTCCTTTGCGAGTTAAAATGCTGTAGTTAAAATGTTTCCACTCCTTTCCTAGGAGGCTGTGTGATGCATGAAATAGTGCAAGCTAGAAGCAGTTTCCTGGTCCTGTGGTGATAAATTATGTATAGCTCTGATCTGCAGAACTCAGATCTCCTGGGAAAAGGCTCTGGCAAAATGTGTCCTTTGAGCTGTGTGCAGGTATTGCCTGGAAGGATGTCTAGTTGGCGCTGATCATAAATATAATCAGGAAAATGCTGACAAGCAGTATAGGATCATCATATTCCAGTGTTTCAGCCTACTCCCTAATCCTGTGTTGTTTTCTGGCATAGATACAGTTCTAGTGACTTATTTTAAGCTTTGGCCTCCAATCGGGAGACTTGGAGACAACACCATCCATAATGCCGTTGATTCCTTTGAGAGCTCACAAAGAACTAGTCTCAAGGAGAAAAGACAACGTAGAAAGAATTGTGCCCTGCCTATACCACCCCAGGAGACCTTTCCCTGTGCTTTTTGTGACCTGAGATTTGCCTATCTCACATTGTCCTTTTTAGTCATCAGCGCGCTTGTAGTAAGTGTGGGTAAAGCCCTTCCCAAATCTTTGTTCATGAAGTCAAGCCATGATGATGATGAGCACAAAAAAGTTTTACTGCAGGGATAAGCTTTAAAAAGAGTGCTATATATGAGTTTGTGCATATGTGAATAATTACATACATAGGGACCATTATTATCTCCATTTTCTTAGGTTCTCATGTTATTGCTTGTATGTGTCTTGTCTGTACCTTGAACTACAGGCTCTTTGGACATAAAGATGCTTCTGCATGTATCATAGGAGACATTTGACTTGAGAGTATGAGACTCAAATGTTCACATGCAAGCAATATAAACAGCAATTGCACCAGATGAATTCTGCACCAGCACTGGAAGTGCTGCCTTCAGAAGAACTGAGTCATGCGTGGGGAAAGTTTATGCACAAGCCTACCATTAAGATCACTGTGCATGACGGCTCAGTGCCAGCACACTTGCTCTCCTATATACTGCAACAAGAAAATACTGTAAAATCCAAGTGTACATTTGGACAGATACTTTAGAAATGTTTTTAAGGCATTCCTAAAATTTGATACACTATGGATTATAAATAACAATTTAAAAAGGTAGCAAAGTTTAGATAGATTAATTTTCCTTACCTATAGCTGATTTATGTCAGCTGAGCGGATCTAAGCCCAGTAGTTCATATAGCTGCTGCTGTTTTTTGTTTGAGAGATAAAGCGTTGGTTTGCTAAGCCTAGAGAGTTAGCTGATACATATTTGTTGAGAGAGGAGGAGGGGGAAGAAAAGGAAAACTTGCTACCCAAACCTTCTCTCTCCTATTAATGCCACTTAGGACAGCACAGTACAGCAGTGTGACTGTTTAGTTTCCTATATCAAATATTTGTAGCAAAAATGGATCCAGCTTTAAGTAAGGAAATACTCCTGCCCCCTCTCATATGACCTCAGTTGGGAGTGTAAGACTTGATTGTAGATAAAATAATAAACTGTTGGTCGGAGCTGGTATGCCAGAGTTGCAAAGGAAATGGGTAAACATTGAAAAATTGGTAGTTCTGTTTCTATGCATGGAATAGGTACGTGTTTCACAAGAGCAAGTATGTTGTCTGCTTTTCTTGTGGGGGTTGGTGTGGGACTTCTGGGTTTTTCCTCTAAGCTGTGGATTTTATCTCTTGTTTCAGTGTTAGGTCTTTGACTTGCAACCTGCCATGAAGAAGCAGTTCTTGATTCTTGAACTCTTATTTCTGCCTCATCAACTTGTGAGCTTCATAATGAAGCTTTCTTGTTCACTTCTGTCAAGAGATACACAAGACATAAGAAGGGCTTGAGTGCTTGGCTCTAGAAATCTCAATGGTGTTTTTTCAGTGCAGTTGTGACATAAACTCTCTTCTGTTTGAAATACTCAGGAGTTTCTGAAGCTTGTTGCAGGTACATATTCCTACTAGTTCTAGGGCAAATATGCTGTGATCGAGAATCTGTGAGGTTTGTATCAGTTCCTGCTTTATAGATCAGATATTAACCTTGAGGAGCAGATATCTGCCTTGAGCCTGAGTTCTGCCTTGAGCCTGAACTTCTGCAGACGTGGGGATTTGCTGTGCTCCCCTCCTTTGCCCTCAGCTGTTCATTCCTGCCAGCCTGCTTTTGCTCATGTTGATGTTTCGGTGTCACACTGGGAGCTGGATCAAAGATCAGCTCCAATGGGGTACAAGATTTGTTTGTTTTGTTGTTGCTTATATTCAGCTGGTACAAGATGGGGGACGGGTTGTTGACAAGGAGGCAGCTGTTTTGGCAGGAGCCCATATTTAGTTTGGAATGAAGTGGCCGTGTAGTTATAGTTAGTGATTGTAATTCATTGTAAACAGGTAGTTGCATGATTAATTTGACCATCCTTTTATATAGCTAGCATTCCACTAAGCAGCAGAAAATCTCCCATGGAGCTTTTTGCAGTTTCAGGCTCTCAGAATGTTTTTAATGTACAGTCAGTTTTGCTGTCATGGCGTCACATAGAGCAGTGTTTGATGTTGAACTTACCTACCAGTTTTGAAAGGTATTTTCCTGGAGGTGAGGAAAATGATAGAACTGTTTGCAATAGAGCAGCTAGCTAAGAAAATGGCAGTTGTTAGCCCCAGTTGTCAGTTTTGCAGAAAGCTGGGTGCCAAAAGGTTAGTACGAGAAATTTTATAACCTTTCTATTTCAAGGGCAACTGACCCTCAGGAGGCAAAGGATTTAGTATAGATATCCACCCTCTCAATTCTGATTAACTGAAATAGAAGTTGTAAAATAAATAGAAAAATGTTTGTGTGAGAAAAAACGTATCTGAAAAAACACTAAATTAATGCTCTGTTTTTTTCAGATATAGTTTGTTGGCTTTGCTTGACAAAAATATATTTTACCATTTTAAATTACATATATATAGCATTTCTGTGTCCTTTTGATGGTTTCATCCACTAATACTAAAGCATAAAACAAATCTTATTTTACTTTTTTTCTTTCAGAAAAGTAGAGAAAGAATGGAGTAAGAATCTGAAAGAATGCTGTAATTGCCCTGTTGTTTCACACCACATCCAAGTTTGAATAGGGTTAGGAGTTTGTTTTGCAGTCCCTAGTTCCAAGAAAAATAAGGTTCAGAAGTACTTAAAAGAACATAGTTTTTTTTTGCCTGCTTAATGAATGTTTAGACAGTTTTGAACAACGGTCCAGTGGCCCATTCAAAATGTAAAAGCTATGTACCAGTTCAGTTTTGAGGATGGTGCTGTTGAGAGTGGCAGGTGGAAGAAGAAATTAGGAACTCCAAACCTGGTAGCAAAGTAGACAGTTCCCACTAGTTTACTTGAGCTAGTCAGGGCTATTCATGGTAAGAAATATTATTGTGAGTTCATGTGGTTACAGCCTCATCCTGTATTTCAGTACTTTCGAACTAATGTATATGGAAACATCTGATGTCAATGCATGTGTATAAAATTTAAATATATATCCTGGTAGCTGCTATATTTCTTGACATTATATACGTACTGTAATAGATAGATTTGCAATGAATTTGTGTCAAATTTTCAACAAAAAAAAAAACCCAGCCAAACAAACAAGCCCCCACAAAACTTATGTTTTAAATTATGCTGGCACTTTATTTAAAAAAAAAAAAAAAAGAAGCTTTAACTTGCAGCTTCCCAGATCTGTTGGTTTGGGTTTGTTTGGGGGGGGGTTGGGTGGTTTTGGTTTTGTTTGTTGTTGTTTTGGGGTTTTTTTTAACATTTGTGTTCTATCTCAAATATCTGAATATTGCAACTGATAAAAGTTTTCAGGTTACAGAACACTTAATTGTGCCGGCAAGCTCCGTCTTTGGCTGCGGCGTAACAAACACTGAGTAATGCATGCGAGGACTGCTATAATCTGTTTTCCCAGCAGTAGGTCACTGTGGCATGCGTTATTGAAAAATGTAAATTCAAAGCTCAGGAGAGGAGGGTGAAGACTTGTTAGGTTAGATTACTAGCAACTATCCTGCCAATCTTGTGCATATTGGTATCTAAAGTATAGGTATTTCTGTGGGGATCTGTTATAGACCACCTGATCAAGAGGAAACTGTGGATGAAGCACTCTATAGGCAGATAGGAAAAGCCTCAGGCTCACAGGCCCTCGTTCTCATGGGTGACTTCAACCACCCTGACATCTGTTGGAATGATGGTACGGCCCGGCACAAACAATCCAGGAGGTTCCTCGATTGTGTGGAAGACAACTTCCTTCTGCAAGTAATAGAGGAACCCACAAAGAAGGCTAAGGCCCAGTTAGGATTAAACTTGGCTAGGGATATGAAGGATAACAGGAAGGGATTCTACAGGTACATAGCAAATAAAAAACAGATTAGGGAGAACGTAGGCCCCCTCAGGAAGCTCTCGAGAGAACTAGCTACACAGGATTTGGAGAAGGCTGAGGTTCTCAATGACTTCTTTGCCTCAGTCTTCTCTGGCAAAGGCTCTGACTGCCCCACCCGAGTCTTGGAAGGCCGATGCAGGGACTGTGAGAATGAAGACCTTGGGCACAGTGTAGGAGAGGAATTGGTTCGAGACCATCTTAAAAGTCTGAACGTGCACAAGTCCATTGGACCTGGTGAAATCCATCAGCGGGTCCTGAAGGAGCTGGCAAATGAAGCTGCTAAGCTGCTGGCCATCATATTTGAAAAATCATGGAAGTCAGGTGAAGTTCCCAACGACTGAAAAAGGGAAATATAACCTCCATTTTCAAGAAGGGGAAAATGGATGACCCGGGGAATTACAGACCAGTCAGTCTCACCTCTGTGCCTGGCAAAATCTTGGAGCAGATTCTCCTGGAAGGCATGCTAAGGCACATGAAAAACAACAAGGTGCTTGGTGACAGCCAGCATGGCTTCACTAAGGGGAAATCCTACCTGACCAATTTGGTGGCCTTTTATGATGGGGCTACAGAACTGATGGACAGGGGTAGAGCAGTTGATGTCATCTACCTGGATTTGTGTAAAGCGTTCGACACTGTCCCACACGACATTCTTGTCTCTGAATTGGAGAGACATCAATTTGATGGGTGGACCACTGGGTGGATAAAGAACTGGCTGGAGGGCCGCACACAAAGAGTTGTGGTCAATGGCTCAGTGTCCGGCTGGAGACCAGTAACGAGTGGTGTCCCTCAGGGATCGGTGTTGGGACCGGTCTTGTTCAACATCTTCGTTGCTGACATGGACAGTGGGATTGAGTGCGCCCTCAGCAAGTTTGCCGATGACACCAAGCTGTGTGGTTCAGTTGATACGCTGGAGGGAAGGAATGCCATCCAGAGGGACCTTGACACGCTTGTGAGGTGGGCTGATGGCAACCTCATGAAGTTTAACCATGCCAAGTGCAAGGTCCTACACCTGGGTCGGAGCAATCCCAGGCACAGCTACAGGCTGGGCAGAGAAGAGATTCAGAGCAGCCCTGTGGAGAAGGATTTGGGGGTGCTGGTCGATGAGAAAATGAACATGAGCCAGCTTCAGTGTGCGCTCACAGCCCAGAAAGCCAACCGTATCCTGGGCTGCATCAAAAGGAACGTGACCAGCAGGTCGAAGGAGGTGATCCTGCCCCTTTATTCTGCTCTTGTGAGACCTCACTTGGAGTATTGTGTGCAGTTCTGGTGTCCTCAACATAAAAAGGACATGGAACTGTTGGAACAAGTCCAGAGGAGGGCCACGAGGATGATCAGGGGACTGGAGCACCTCCCATATGAAGACAGGCTGAGAAAGTTGGGACTGTTCAGCCTGGAGAAGAGAAGGCTGAGTGCAGACCTCATAGCAGCCTTCCAGTATCTGAAGGGAGCCTATAGGGATGCTGGGCATGAACTCTTCATTAGGGACTGTAGTGATAGGACAAGGGGTAATGGGTTAAAACTTAAACAGGGGAAGTTTAGATTGGATATAAGGAGGAAATTCTTTCCTGTTAGGGTGGTGAGGCACTGGAATAGGTTGCCCAAGGAGGTTGTGAATGCTCCATCCCTAGCAGTGTTTAAGGCCAGGTTGGACGAGGCCTTGGGTGATATGGTTTAGAGCAAGGTGTTCCTGCCCATGGCAGGGGGGTTGGAACTTGGTGATCTTAAGGTCCTTTCCAGCCCTAACTATTCTATGATTCTATAAATTAGTATAGCAGAAGTGTGTATTGGTGCTGTATGTTAGTTTGGATAGTAGCAGTAAATACGCTGTTCTCTACGTTCTTCAGAGAAGGATTTTTCCTCTTCCCTATTGAATTTTACATTAAGAGAATTCATCTTAATTTTACGTCAAGAGAATGCATCAAACAGAGATGTAGCATAGTGTGCTTTCTTTGGTTAGCATCTGGGTGAGTAGGCCAACAAATTAGAGAAAGGGCACTGGTTATATTTTGTATTGCTTTTGTTTTTGTTGTTTTTTTTTCCTTGGTTTTTAGATATTGCTGTGTTTTCATGCAAAAAATAATAATGCTTGTAATCCACACACTGCAACTTTAATGTGTTATATTTCCCTACAAATGAGTTTAATTTCTTGTTCTCTCCTGGTTTTGTGCTGCCTGCCTGCATCTTCAGTAACTTATTTCATTGAGAGGAAGTATGCGATAAGTGCAGTTTTCAGTGTGAGGTATCTTACTGTGTTCCTTAGCAAAAATATCACCTATAGAAACCTGTATAAAGCGTATCTGTAGAAAGCAGTCATACTTGCACCTGGTACAGGGTACCAGAATTTTATCCACTTTAATATTGCAGTCTTTGAGTCTGCTTGATACGAAGGAAATGCATGTATTCTAACACTTAAATTCATGTATGATATGTGGGTTTTTATGAGGATTATGGCTAGTAGATAGTAACTAAAATGTTAATATGTTGTCGTAAGAAGAAAACCATTCAATGTCGTGATGCTGCTTCCCTGCTCTGCACTGTAGCTTATGCCCAAGCAAATGGATCCTGGAGGGCGAAATGCTGTCTTACGGGTAGTGAGAAAATTATTGATTCTCTTGACTATTACCTTTTATTCTTCTGCTTGTTGATCTGTATATGTGTTTTGGCATAAGGAGGTAAGCTGAAGTGATGCATTGAGCAGCACATCATAAGAGTCCACTATTAAAGGTAAAATACTTGGTCAAACAGTGCTGCACAGACAGAGATGTATCACTTTATACAAATGAAACTACAGCTGTTAACGCAGTGCTGCAGTGCAAAAAAAACCCATGTGCTCTCTACAGGTGAAGTTAAAGACAGCCACAGAGAAGTGGGTCAACTAGCATCATATAAATGCTCAGCTTGATCCATTTTGTCAATTAGGCTTTTAGTATGAGACATTAAAGGCAAAAAACTAAATGCTAACCCTGGTGTCTGGAACTTGGGGAATAGTATTAAGGGCAGCAGGCGTCTTCATTTCTTCATCATGCATCAGAGATGGGATCAGCCTTGTATTAGCACACAGGTAGATGGATGTAGCAATTGCACATATAAATAGTAATTTTGGCTCCCCCCTGAGCAAAAAGTAAGATACTAATTTGTGGGAGATCGGAGCGCCTACTTTGGACTCTCCCTGGAGCTGAGGCAGCATGCCACCAGTCAGGGTGTCTGAGCAGAGAGCGCAGCAACTGGAAGGAGTGAGAACTGCTGAAATAAGTTTTGAGGGCTTCACATGTATCTCCACCCTAGAATGTAGTTTCTTGAGCAGCACCCCTACACTATGCATGGCCAGCACAGACACATCAATGGTTCAGTGGTGAACTAGGTCTGGATACAGGTGCAACCAGAAGGCTTTATTTTTTGGCTGGCTGAATTCCTTAGACCCATGCATCAGGTGGTACAAAGCCAGGGGAGTGCTAGGGGTGGGCTACAACTGGAGCTGCTGAGCAGGGCTCAACATTTGCATGAGATGTGCCCTCCCATCTTTCAGGCTGAGACATTTCAGTGCCAAACACAGTAGAAGTTAAGATGTTGTAGGAGCCTAGATGTGCCTATGTTTAACGTGGCCTGGAGTTCTTGGTTTCCTTAGTCATGGTTCAGTTAGGAGGTCTGTCTTAAGTCAGATAAGCACCTGCAGTGTGCCTCTTACTACATATTGCTATAAACACAACAGCTGCCATAGCTTTTCCAAAAAACTGCTGGGCTCTGGAGGAGAACATGATGACAATGGTACCTGTTTGGTGCAACGATTTAAAACCCAGGGAGTGAGAAGAATGGATCCTTTCTTAATTTAGGAGCTTGGCTTGTGATTTTTGCTGTTAGGTGTGGTCTGTAGCAAAAGGACTGTTTGGCACAGCCTCAGCTTGCCCTTGCGCAATCAGGACCATTTCTGATACAAGCTTTGTAACCCATCCTGGGCTGTGTGGAGACCCTTCATAAGACTGGGTACTCCCTGGTAATAGCCTTGGCAGTGAATTTTTTAACTAGAAGACTGAGATCCACTGTGTTGAAAACTGGCTGCTAATTTTCACATGATCTAAAACATGTATCAGAGGCAACTTAGTAAGCTTCCTGGATTTAGCCTTTTGGCATCTGAGCTGCCCAGTGAATTCGGGAAGTTTAAACCAAGCTACTTATGCCTTGTTTGTTTGGGGCATTTCCTGGCTTTAGCAATTAGTTCTGTATTTTCTCCCTTTTAAAAAGATAAGTCAACTTCCACAACATCTTGTTTTTTAACAGACCCATCAAAAGATGTTAGACCTTTTCTGGGCAGCTGTTCTCTTAACTGAAGACCAGTGTTTTTAGAATGGGCTTTCCAGTTGGGTCAGCACCCAGCTTGCAAACGTGTGGTGTTTTCTCATTTGTACAGATCCAGTGTCCATCTTGCCAATTTGTCTGGTGTTTCAAGTGCCACTCTCCCTGGCATGAAGGCGTTAACTGCAAAGAATACAAGAAGGGAGACAAGCTGTTGCGTCACTGGGCCAACGAAATTGAACACGGGCAGAGGAATGCCCAGAAATGTCCAAAATGCAAGGTGAGCTGTTCTGCCTTGGCTTGCAGGTAGTGACTACAAACTGTTTAGATATGTATTTAAAGTATATATTTGTAACTTCTGCTCAGCATGGAAAGTGGAACTCACACTTGAAGTGCACATTCCTGTCAATTGAGAAAAGCAGGTCTTATATTTAACTTACTGGTTCCTGTACTGATTCTGCAGAATCTCTGGATATAAAAATGGCTTTATGGAAATCATAAGAGGGGGCTTTGATGTATGCTTATGATGAATTTATGTTACAGAATAAATTATTACTAAAGTAAAGCTTCAAAGAAATGGAAAGCTTTAGAGACATATGATGCCCTTTGTCATGTTTTCCAAAGATGCTGGGTGAATTCAGTTTTTGAGTAAGGCAGAAAGTACTTTATCAACAAGTTAACTAAGAATATCTTTAAGATTTGTCAAAACCAGAAGTTCTTCACAAACCTTTCTCTTGAATTAGTTTGTCAACACTGGAGTCCCACACCTTAAAAACATCATTAATCTCTTTGGGGATAGGAAATATTTCTCACTACCAAAATGAGATGCAACAGCCTCACATACCCCTGCCCTGGCTGCTCTTAGTGAAGGTTGCCATTATGGTTTTTTACTATTTTTTTCGCAGCACTTATCTCCAGCTACTGACAGAGTAGTTACATCCAAATTAGCTTATCCTTTTTATTGAAAGGGAGTACGCAGTCAGATAGTACCCTGTGTGTTGCTCTACATCTGCTTCATGGAGAGGACAAAGGAAAGAAACTGGGGGATTTGATAGGAAATAAATACTGAAAGGGAAGATACACTTCTAAATGTCCGAAGTATACTTTTGTCTGCTTTGAGCCTTACCCTGTGCAAGTAAAAGAATGTTAATCAGTTTACTAATTAACTTATTTTGCTCTTTGGGAATGAAATGCCTGTGGTGCCATAGCTTGAAATGGAAAGATTTCCAAACACAGAGTAAAATTCGGAAAGCTCTGAAATCAGCAGTTGGTTGTTTACCCTTTCTCCCTCCTACACACACATGACATTTTAACAGAGTTTTAACAGCTTGCTGTTTGGTAAGAGTTGATAGGTTTGAGCCAGTTCTAAAAATGTTCACTTTCTGGGCAGTCTTACAGCAAAATACTTTAATGAACTTTGCTCCTTTTGGACTGGGAAGTAGTATGTGTTTTGGTTTTAATTCTTTGACTTCTGTCAAAGATTCTGACTTCTGTCAGATTCAGTTTTTATGACAATGCAAATGGTGTAGCTATTGAAATAAGTTGTCCAAAAAAATAAAATGCACCAAGCAAAAAAGTATGAACGTGTAAAAGCAGAGGAAAGAGGGCTGGTAACTGGAAAGAGAAAGGGATAACAGTTTTAGCTCCTAACATGTTTATCCTTAATAAGTTTTAAATTTAAACTGCTGAATGTAAAACTGTTCTCACCGTCTTCAGAAGAAAAGGCTGGACACTTGAAACTTGCCCAGGTTAAGTCACTTATTTTGAAGCTTGAAGCTACATGAGTTTGGCTATTGATTTCAAAAATAATTTGTTTCTTAATCAAAAGAAAATAAATCCTCCAACATGGTGGGAGGCAGTGTGAAAAGTCATGAAACTGGCATAGAAAAAGATCCTTTGTTAACAAGTCCTTTCTGGTAATGTGGTGCTATAAGAGAATATTAAAGAGGGAATTCAACAGTTTCATAAACTGTGCTGCTACCCCACTCTGTTCCTTCATTTTTATTTTTTTTCCTTCAGGGGTGAAAAAAGTTATTCCTGCTTACAACCTCCAGTATGTTTATATCAACACATTGTATTTAAACCAAATCTATAACTAGCAAGTAATCAAAAGAACCACTTACCGAGCAGTTAGTGGTCCTGTTTTTCTTTTTTCTTTCTTAATTGGTTGTTGGGTAGTTAAAAGAAATACATGCATTATGCAGCATTCTTCATCGAAGCATCAATAGATATCTGGGCACATGGAGATAAATATACCAACAGTTAACAGTGTGCATTCAGGGGGATTGGAGGTAATATTTTCTCTGCCTCTCTCTCTAGTCATTCCCCAAAATCTCTCTCAAAAAATAGCATTGACTCAGACGACTATTGCATTTTCAAATAAAATAGAGAAAAGTGACAGAGAAAACAGACTTGATAACATGCTATTTGATTCGTCCTTGTTCCAGATCCACATAAGCGATGTTTCATATGACAACATATTTTATTTTGATACATGCATATATTGTACTCAAAGAACCTCTTTTGTGTTTTGGTTAAAAATTGCAGCATCCAAAACTGACAAATAGATTGAGGAAGAGTCAAGATTAAATTGTGTCATATTAGTATTCAATCTTTACACTAAAACTGAAGCTAGCAGAAATTAAAGGCAGAAACTTCAGAAGAGAGAATTTCTTTAATGAGGTAACTTGAACAATACTGGTAGTTTTGAAAGTGTGATATAGCTTACAGTGTAAACTGTGACCATATTTTAGATACCTTCTGGAAATATGTACAGTTTGAGTAGCCATACCATGGAGAAGTAGAACACACCATTATTATCTTGTCTGGGCATGAAGATAAGAAAACAGGAACACTCTTATGGTGTGTGTATATGTATATATAGGCAGATCCTTAGGCAAGTATTCACAAGTTTTCCAGTGGTTTTGGGAAGTACTTTGAAAGACATAATCCTTGGTAATGTGAATACTAGTAGGCACTGTTAAATAAGCTTAAACTTGATTACCTTCTCCTGTAGGTCAGCACAGCTTTAATGCATCTAACAGGAATAGCTTCTATTTACGTTGTCTCTCTAAGATATGCTCACATAAGCAAATACAAATGTTACACGTTGCCAAAATACATGATTATACATTCACAGTGTGACTATATGTCAGTATTATGGAAATACTAAAAAGTGCTGCTCTTTAAAACTAGATCTTAAGTTAGTTTTGAGATATTTCTTCTTTTAATAGAGCCTTTTCCAAATTTATTACACAGTAATACAGTGCAGACCATTTTTCTCAATAAAAGTTGTCCAAAATACAGTAGTAGTGTTCTAGAGGGAGCTGGCTAATGAGTGAAAATTTGCTATGTATTAATAGATGCCTTTTCAGAAAATCTGTGACTTCATTTGGGTTTCCCCACTACTGTTTTAGGGTGTTATTTTTTACGAGTTCTTGCAAAAACATGTTTGTAGCAAGATGCCTTTTTTCCACAAGTGTTTTTACAGTACAGCAAACCAAGGAAGTACTTCATGTTTGTGTTACCTTACCACAGATTTCAATATCAACACTGAGGAAACACCAAACAGTGGCTCTAGCTTAGAAAGCTTCAAACAGAGGCAGAAACTTAAATGCAGATGTCAATGCAAATCAAGGAATATGTACTGTGGGTTCCCTGTTCTGATTATTCTCATAACGAGTGTTATCAAATAACTTGGGTCATAGTTTTTGAAAGTGCTCTGCAAATTGTTTCTCATCCTCTGAAGGGAGGAGAGTTCTTGTTTCTATATGAGCGGATAAGGCCATGCACCAGGTTTTCTTCAGGAGTGGAGGAGAAATGCACACACTCATCCTCAGATCTCTTTGAAATGATTTCCCTAGAAGATTTCCATGAAAGGGCATATAACATGCAGAGGGCGTAAAGTGATGGTCTGAAATAGCTGCTGCACTACCTCAGTTGCTTCCTTAAGACTCTTAGCTCTGTGTGCTTTGCCATCGGTATGTAATTCTTCACCCTTCTTGTTCTGGGAGCCATTCTTTGATTTCTGAATGAGTAAACCTTTCCCCATAAAGTGAGGGTATGTTCCTGGGTTTGAGCAGACCTGGAGGCTTGGACACAGAAACTGGGCTTGCAGTCAGTTATTCTCACATCTTGCTTCCTCAACCCCCACCATGCTGCTGGGGACCCTGAAGTTACAGGGCTCTGAACCCCACACGGCTGCAGCTATCTATAGCAAGCTGCATTCCCAGCCATGTACATTTCCCCTGCTGCATGCCATGGTACTGCCAACAGAGCAGGAACACTCATGTGATATCTGACCCATCGGTAATTGCTTTCCCACCCTATAGATTTGTAATCCATCTCTGTCAGTGGATTATTCTAAGAGGAAGGAAACATGTCCCTGTGAACCGGAGCTGAAGTTAATCTGTCAAGATGTCATATTTTAGGCTTGAAAGCATCCTGCCTGAATCATACAATGTTCATCTGGCATTGTCAGTCTGTGTGCGTATGATAGGGAGTTCAAGCCCCACATCTAAGGTTGGTTTTTATTTCATCATTTTAATGAATTCTCGCCTTCTAGAAAAGGGGAAGCTTTTTGCAACAAAATATGTAGGCAAGTACAATCACATGTTCCAAATATGCATCTTTTGCAGACAGTTAAATATGGGCAAATAAATATCCACTAAAAGGTTTTTAATGCTTTTAATGAGTAATTGCAGTATGTGTCCATAAGAAAATAAAACCTATATAAACCTCTTTATGTTTTAAGAGGGCAGTATGTCTGGGGGATTTAGAGCAGAAACAAGTAGATTCAGAAGCGATTGAGGAGTGGTGCCTGGCTAACTAGAGCTGGGATGTAGAAAGTAAGGTTTTATAGCCCAGTCGTCTCTTTTGTGAATGTCTTTCCCATCATATGTGCAAAAGAAGCATTTGAAAGTGTAGAAATAGGAATTCTGAGACGACTAGTGTTGGCACAGGAATGTTGCCAGGTATATCTGGAACTACTGCTAACTAAATCTGCCCTGGAATCTTTTACCAGTAGCATTGCTGGTGGAAAACATCACTTTGTTACATGTATAAAGTGCCATTTTCAGTAGGTGTTCAGGTGAGCGAGACTTCTCAGTTCCCAGATGACCCCTGATTAGCACAAGACAAAAAACACACTTGGCCATCTCAAGCATGTCAGAATCCCGGGGAGTCACAAGCCTCTTTTGAGGTGAGAGGCTTCCTTGTACCTGAGCTTTCAGCATCTCTGGTGCTTCCAGGGCCACTGAATGGTGATGCCTTGTCTCTACCCGTACCTTCCTGCAGAGTAAATACCTGTAGATACATTTAAGAATTTCAGGAGGCATTCATTCATCCATCACAATTTTCAACAAATACAATTCCAGTGGGGTGTAAGGGGAAAAAATAATCCCAGGGAAGAGTGGTGAAGCATGGAAAAGGTTGCTTGATGAGAGTGGGATGTACCCATACTTGGAAGTTTTTAAAATCTAGTGGAATGAGGCCTGGAGCAATCTGATCTGATTTTGAAGTTAACCCAGCTTGGAGTTGGGGGTTAAAATAGATGACCTCTGAGGGTCACGTCCAACCTCAATTATTAGGTAATTTTATCTTCCATTCACTGGGGGGTATGATCCTGGGACGGGGGGGAGGTTTTCAGCAATTTTATGAGCTAGGGGAAGTGTGTTTACCACCCTGTTAGCTATATTTTCAATTGGCAACATTTAGTAGTAGCTTGTAATCATAGTAGATCCAGTGAAATATTCGGCCTCAGGACTACCCTCTCGCCTAAGACTCTCAGAACTATTAACTAAACACCAAAGCCTTGTCAAGTCTGTGCAAAGTAGGTAAATGTACCAGTTTTTCAGAAAAGTACATGGAGGTACAGGAATGGAGCTGTTTATGCAGGCAATCAGCAGAAGGATGTATATGTAGATCCTAGGTAGCCCAGCTTCATGCTGTTCCGTGGGCTTTATGAAAGCTGGGTGCAATTCTTTAATACAGTTTGTGGATTTTTTTTTTTTTTTTCAAATTAAAAAAAACAACCCATACTTTTTAAATCATTCACTCTAATAGTGCTTTTTCTGATGTTACAAAATGCAGCATCAGTTCATCGTGGGAAAGAGAGTGGGGCCACAGGTGGCAAAAGAGGGAAGCCCATCTGTAGAGGGCTAAATTGAGTTCATAACTTTATTTACTGTGCTGGTTTTATGTTTAATAAGGTTTGGTGCTGATGTGTCTACTTACAATAATAAAACCAAGTTTTTTAGTGAGGGCAAGGATCACTCAGATTCTCATCTGATACAAGGAGTGTTTAAAGAAAGAAGTAAGTTCATATACAAAAGCTTGTGTTGAAATCTGGAATCAACTACAGCTCATATTTGATGTTCTCAAACATGCCTTTAAAAACCATTGTTGTCTTAGGACAGCTGAAGTATTAATTAATGCAAATGGTGAGGTAAGGAGGGGATTGGCTGCAGTGTCTTTTTATCTAATTCATGGACTGAAGGGGGTAGTGCCTGCTTTCCTGTGCTTAGAGAGAGGGGGGGAAAAAGTAACCTTTTCTCTTCTGCTGGTACAGATCCATATCCAGAGAACAGAAGGGTGTGACCACATGACCTGTTCCCAGTGTAACACTAATTTCTGTTACCGTTGTGGGGAGAGATACCGTCAGCTCCGGTTCTTCGGAGATCACACGTCAAACCTCAGTATCTTTGGATGCAAATACCGCTACCTCCCCGAGAGACCACATTTAAGGAGATTAGTGCGAGGCTCTGTCTGTGGTGAGTGGATAAATGTTCCTTGTGGAGAGCTGCACAATGAGGTGATTGAGTGCGGGAGTCAGTAATAGTTAAATAAAACCTAGTGCTTTTATGTATTGGATGGGCAGCCTGCTGTTCAGTTATGTAAAAGGTGGTTTGTTAAATATTTTTAAATAGTATTTGCACTCCCTTTTTTGATGGACTACATATGTGTGTAAGTATCATGTTCTCTTCTGCTTCGTAACTTTTTTAATAATACATAAGCAAACTGGAAAAATACTGTCAATATGAGTGTTGCTTGCTGTGATTGTTACTCTAAAAGGATATTAAAGATACAGAAATGAACAGGAAAGTGGGTGAAAATTCAAAATGATTGGATGTGCCTACTCTGGTAAAATCCAATGCATGAGAAGATCTAGTATAGATTAAAGACAATGCTGGCACTAGAGCACATGGGTATAAACTGTTCATTAATAAATTTAGGCATAAAATTCAAGAACCAGTTCAAAGCACTTAGTAAGGTTGCAGAAGAGCTTTTAGTAAAAGCTACTATAACAAACAATGTGTTTTTTAAAATGGTTCTTCGTACGTTTGATGGAATTACTGTGATAGCAAAGGACCGCGCTCAGAGCTATTACCGAGTCAGTGCTGTTCACGTGCAGAAACATTGGTAATCTCATTCCAAGGTTAAATCTTATATGTACAATGGAGATACAAATATAAAATTAGTGGGTTTTATCACAGATTTGCAAAAAATAACATTCTTGTTGACTTAATTTTTGCAGTGGTTTACAGATAACATATCTAAATATGCAGTTGGCATGTTTAAATAGAGTCTAAAATACAGGTGCCTGTACATTTTATGAATAACCACCGAAACACGGCAGAGTGCTAACAGAACTCACGCATGAAAATGAAAAAATTAAAGTTTCCTCAGTTTACATGAGATTAGATTTCAGGAATTGAGGTTAGTGCTCTTCCTCCATTGGGTTAGATTTTGGCTATGATTGGCATACATGAGCTAGTCTAGGTTTTTGTATTTTTTTCCCCACAAGCACACATGTGGGTATCACAGTATCACAGTATGTTAGAGATTGGAAGGGACCTCAAAAGATCATCTAGTCCAATCCCCCTGCCGGAGCAGGAACACCTAGATAAGGTTACACAGGAACGTGTCCAGGCGGGTTTTGAATGTCTCCAAAGAAGGAGATTCCGGTATGGACACATCTTTTTAAGAAGGTGTTGTATTGTTGTAAGACTATATCCCGTGACATTTTGGTTTTGAGACAGTATAATCCCTAATTGGATGTCAGGTCAGTTTGTGGATTCTGCCATCTTCAGTGGTGGAAATGATTGTTTTAAATACTTCCTTAGCTAAGGTTTGTATCTGAACCTTTGCTTAATAATTATCAATAGATATATCATTCACCAATTTATGCAGTTCTTAAGTTTTGGCTTCCACATCATCTTTGGTAAGGGCTGTAGGATTTCAATATGTGTTGTGTGTTATCTTTGTTTTATAGACCCTCCATCAGATTCTTTGTGGTGGTCTTTAATTATTTTTAGTATTTGTTTTGTTTTTGAACTGGAGCTTCCTAGTCTTAATCATTTAAGATCAAGTTGAAAACCCAGAAGTGTTTAATTCCAGTTAGGGATCACACCTAGGCTCAGAGATGTCCCACTAGCTGCAACCCTAAATGTAAATCTGTTAAGGCTTTATAAGGCAGGATAGCATTCTTAGTAGAAGGTGTCGCTGTACAAGTCTGGATTTTGTTTCCATTCTCAGACTCAGCAAAAGACATTAGAAGGAGGAGATGGTAGCAGAGAGGCCATTAAAAGCGTCTTTAAATTTTAGTAACATGTAGCAAGAAATAAAGGTTGGATGTCTTGTAGTAAAACACCTCTGCTTGTTAGTTAAGAGCGGAAATTCAGAGAACATTATCTTGGCTGTCAGTGGGAGACTGGTGAGGTGTTGCTACACGTTTTCTTCTGTGACTCTTTACTTTCTTGTTATGGAGAATAAATACTTAAGTAAACATAGTGGTTTTGTAGCCTTGTGCAGGAAAGGGTTTTTGGCTTGTTTCTACCAAATCTGGGTGAGTGAGGCGTGTAGAAAGGAAAGAACACTTCATGGCAGGCTGGCATGCTACCATAGTTTCTGTTGAGAAGCAGGGAGTTGTGCCTACAATCACAAACTGTTCTGTAATAAAAATAAGAGAAAAGCATTTATGGCAGCATAAATTTTTAAACATACTTTTCTTCATAAATCAATGTTTTTTGTAAAGGTAATGGACATAACAGGGAGAAGAAGAAAACCTGGGAGCAGAAGGTCTCTGAATTTGATGACATTTCTCTCCCTTCTTTAGCAAGCATATTTTTTAGAGAAGCTTTGTCCTTTGACCAGTACAGTAAGGTGAAATTGCTTTTATCCATCAGTTACAGCAGATGTAGAGATTCCATTCTCATAGTAATTATTTGGCTAAACTGTTGAAGGCAAAATGTTTTCTTATAACTGGAGTTAGTGATGGATTGCACAGAAAGGAGAAACATGCTCAGTTGTCTTAAATGTACTTGAAGTCAACTATAGGTACTCAATAGGACTCTTTAAAAAAAGATGCAAACTTGTGCTAGAACTTAACATAGGTATGACTAGTTTGATGTGCAAATAGGTACTTTCAGTGGCTCTGTTGCTTAAAGATAAAATTATATTTGGACTTGAAAATCAGAACTTTATAATGCACAAATTATAAAATTGTTTTAGAAAACTATTATTTTTTTTCGCCTGGGAAAGGATTCTCTAGGGATTTATGGGTGTTTGTATATATTACCTTAAAATGCGCAACCAAATCCAAAGTTATGCAAGAGGAAAATATTCCTTCATGTTTCTTTAAATACTTTCTCATTTTGCAGAAAAACATCATCCTCTATATCACAAGTAATGCAGCCCCTCTGAGACACCAGCAATTAACTGTAATTTGTGCGAGTCTTGTTCACCTTTTGTTAATTTGCTCTTAATTTTAGTTTACAAAGCCAAAGAGAGATAAAGGATTTAAATGTGATAGATATATAAGAAGCAAAGTATTTTGTTTTGTTTTTAAAATTTAACCTTTAGAAAGAATGCATTGATAACCAAAAGAAGATACTGTCCCATGACAGTGAAAGGTCATTTTATCCTGTACAGTCTTGGAACTATGCAGTACTTGTAACTTCATATACACAGGCAGAAGGAAAAAGGCACTCACTTATGCTTTATTTTATCTCTGAGTTAGTTTATGACATGTAAGTAAACAAGACCTTAAACTGCATTAGTTTAGGAACCATTCTTTGTGTCTGCAAAGAAATTACTCCACTCAAAAGCTAGTTTAGCTCTTTCTGCAGGCTTTTTTTTCTGTGTACTTAATCACCAGTTTAGTGGTTTAATATTTTTGTAATTTTGGTACTAAACATCATAATTTTCCAACATTCTAATTATGTTGTTATTGATAAAGAGAGTTCATACCTTAAAATAATCTTTTATAAAGTTTACTTTGAAATAGTTAAAGGCTTTGGTAATGTTTTTAATTGCTCATTTTTGGAGTTTTCTCAAGGTTTTCCATCACTCTACGTTCCTTCTCCTGTCTATACTTGACTGTTTTGCTTGGACAACTTCTGCGTGTATAGCATGCAGCACAGTGGAGTCCCAGGCAGGTCCACCATTACGATGCCTAGCAACTAGAGTAATACCAATAACATTTGCTGATATTTTTCTTCTAGGAATTAATGCTTTCCACCCACAACACTTCTATGAAATACAAAAGCTATCAAAACAGAACATGAAAGGGACATTTTGCATTAAAATGTTGTAAATTTTTCCAAAATATCTAATTTTTCCCTCAGACTGCCCAAATTAGTGGCTCAGGTTATGGAGGGGTTTACATCATTATTGAATGAGGTAATCCTTTCAGTGCAATCTGATACAAGTGACTTAAGGGAGGGGAGGGGAGAGGTAACAAACTTGTTTTTCCTCTCTTGTTAGAGGTGACCTTTCAAATGCGTGTATAACTTAAGAGAGCTGCTTCATTTCAAAGGCTTGATCAGACTGCTGGTGTATCAGTAAAAATGCCTGCCCTGCTGCATTTTCAAAGAGCTGAGACAAGTGATGTCTTTGATCCAGCCACTCAGCCAACACAGCCCGGGAGACTCTGCACTTCTGTTCAAAGCATGCAACTTGGGAAAGATAACTTGGACTCAAAGTTCAGTTTCAACTTCAGTGTTTCAGGAGGAGCCTTGCCTTCTCTCCATGCATTCCTACAGATCACGAACTCACCAGAAATAAAGAACATGAGCATTCTTTATTTGTTCTTAGTTCTATACTAGCCAGTTTCCTGCACAACCTCACCAACTTACGCATGTAACAGAAGCATCATACTCTTTTAAATATTGATCCAAAACAGACTTGGCTGTGGATTTAGACCTAAATCAGAACTATACATGTGGACTTCACCATAGCATTTTAAAGTGAGCAGAAGCATATTTAGAGGTGATGGTCTCATCACCTCGAGCTAACCTAAATTCTCCAAGATGCTGGTTTGGTTGGAATCTTTCCAGGGTGGTTGCTGTGCAGAAGGATTCCAGAGAAGCCAAAAGATAGTAGCTCTGTAGCTATCAAGTTCCTGTCAATGCCTGAGGGATTTCAGAATGGAAAGAGAAGTAAATGTGAGCTGTGAATGTACAAAATGAGCTGTGCTTGGACTGTTATGGAGGGTTAAGAGGGCAGAGAGAAATGCGTGCAGGGAGCTGGCTGAGCAGTGGTAGCTCTTAGCTGGGTTTGTAGGATGAATTTACAAATAAGAATCCTAATAAAGTATCAAAAACCAAACCTACTTTTGGGAGTCTGGTATTGAAATATTTATGGATGATTGGAAAGGGAAAAATAAAATGCCTACTTTGAATTATTTAATGAATTTTGCATTTCAGCTGGAAAACTACTCGTTACACCCATAATACTGGTTCTGGGACTGGCATTGGGAGCCATAGCTGTTGTAATAGGTAAGAGCTACATATGTGAACAAATCTAATTCCAATTTTCTCTATGACATCTCAGTACTTTAATCTCAGAGACTGACACAAAGTACAAATTTCACAGATCATGTTTTAGTATAAAGCACATGACTTTTTTTCTAAAAACTCTGTCTTTAGAATCTTTTCTCTTACTTGCATTTTATGCCTACTAGCTTTATTATCTTTTTTTCTTCAGTTATTTGGCTTTCTGAACTAAAATCTTTAACTAGTATAGCTAAACAAATGAAAAGGCCAGAATAATTTAAAAGCAGCCTTGGGCGCTCGCTGACTTAGACCCTCCCCTTAATCATCCCAGTGAATCACAATTCTAAGGTCTTGGTCATGTGCATAGTAAGATTTTTGGGGCAGTAGGCACAGTCCCCAGAGCCCTCCAGCTTGAAGATTACAACAACAACAACAATAAGGCAGCAAATTGGAATAAATTAAAATCTGATTCAGTGCATAGGCTGCTAAATTGAATTCCATCACAAAAAAAAAAAAAAGTACTGTGAACTCATACAGTATCAAAGCTCTGTTAATGTGGTTGCATTAATGTGGATGTAGTTATTCTAGCTCTTTGCTTGGCTTTAGCTGAAGTCTTCCACAGAAATTAAATAAGCCATAACGATAAATGTATAATTTTGTACATGTAATTGCATTTCCACTATTTGTGTTGGCAATAATAGTGTTAATGAGGGCTCTAGCTGCTTTATCACTCTTCACCAAACTACTTACTCCATTTAAAATTTGTAGTTGTGATGCCTCAGGCCTGGGCACCTTTTATTTTGATACAGTAAAGCCAAAATATACCAGGACAGTTACATTAATAAGATTGTGCATAACCAAACAGCGTATAACCCAAATACTACTACAGCTTTTGTGGACTACATCTAGTCAAATAAGGAATATTGCTATTAATTTCAGTATTTAGGCTAAGAATACACATCTTCTTCCTGTATCAATATTCTGTGTTGGATCCACTGAAGAGAGATATCTCTATAAAGATACAGGTAGATAGGTATCTGTCTTAAATATTTGTTCTGTCTTAAATATTTGTTCTTTTTAGTGGCATTTTATTGCCAAAAGTATAGGTAATAAAAACTTTTTAATGCCAGTAAAGCTGATTTTGCTCAGCAGTCTGGTATAATCTATACTGGCAGAAAAAAACCTCATTTGCTTATGTTAAAAATTAAGAGGGTTTTGCAGTAATACAATCGCAATAATTGCAATAATACTCAGTGTGCCATTAAAGTCCCATTCTAGACACGGCTGGCTAAGATATGATTAAGAACAAAAGCCATTGATTATTTATAGGAAAGATTTGGTTTTGGGGATAATTACAACAATTTTGTTGTTAACACAACTGTTAAAGTAATGTCAGCATCATAGCTGACAACCATTTTACACCATTTACAAGGCTGTTGAGCAAAGGAAGGACCCTAGTTACTGTAGTAGCCTTTTGTCATATGTTGTTTCTGTAGAGGTGTCTGAAAAGTAAGCCTTTCACCGTTTCAGTCAGCTGATGGCAAGAGAAATGGTGAAGTGCTTCTTATTTGCACTTAAGAGAGTCGCTCTTATGACACTTATTTTTCACTTGAGTAAGTCTGATTTATGTATTTATTTTTCCTTTTACAGCTTCTTTTCTCCCAAAAGACTTTTAAGAATAAACAGTTCCTTGCCCAGGCAAGGATAAACATTTGGTATTACTTCACAATAGATGCTTGTAAAAATAAATATTATTTAAAGGGGCAAAAAAAGTAAAGCTATAACATGCTGCCAATGAAACTGGTTGAAAACTAGTTCAGTTAAATCAGCCTTGGATTTAGATCAAAGGATTCCCAAAGTGCTTCTAAAAGTTTTAGGTTTGTATCTTACACAAACCAGCATGGTTCAGGAGTTAAATTTGTCAGAGATGGTAGTCAGGTTAGTGGGAGTTTGTTGTAAAGTAAGCAAAGTGTAACTTAACTCATTACTGAAGAAACTGTTGCAGGCTAGTGTATTTTTCTGTTTGTCCAAATTCTCCTGAGACATGGAAAGCTGCATCTGAATGTGTACATTGAAAGAACACAATGCATGCATAAAGGATTGCATTTAATTATGTTTTTCTTCTTCTTTTCTTGTTTCGGCAGGTTTATTTGTGTTTCCTGTCTATTGCCTTTGTAAAAAGCAGAGGAAAAGGTCACGGACAGGTATGCCCTGGTAAGGATGGACCTTACTCATCTGAACTGAGCTGGTCCTTCAAGGGCTATACACGCTTTGTGCAACAGAGCAATACAGTGCTGGTTAACAGCATCAAAACCACAGCCCTGGAAGAAGAATGGGGGATCTCCTGCTGTCTTCCCTCAGATAAAAACACTACTGCAGACCAGAAAGCCTCTTTGTTCTGGTGCACTCTGAACAAGATGGGCCCCCTGACTGCTGCTTTTTAAATGTTTTGGGGTTTGGGTTTGTTTTTGTTTTGTTTTGTTTTAATTATTACTTTGGAGGGTTTTTTTGAGTCTAAGTTTCTGAATTAGACAATCAAAGTCTCTCTTGTAGCCACAACTTCTACTGATTTGGCCTGTGAAGAAAGCATTTAACTGCTAACATGTGCTCCATTTAACTTCAGTGTCAGCCTTTAAGGGGGAAATGCTTAGAAGTGTTTGGACTCTTACTGTATACTGAGCATACTACTTTTGGTATTAAAAACTACTTCTGTAAATAACTTCCATCACACAGCATTCTGTTCAGCATACCAAAACCCCTTCACATGCCAGAGCACGACAGCTGGTTATCTTCCAAGTCCTAGGCAGTAGTGTAGATTGCCACCGCCAAACTGCAGTGCCTCAGAGCGAAATAATCCTTAGTACTGAAGGTCCATTATACTTACAAATATACTGATTGGGTTTAAGTCAGTGTTTATGGCAGTCTGTTAATATTGACTGGGGGTGTGTAACTGATTTGTTAGAAGAGTTACATTGTGAAATCCTTCCAGTACAGAAAAAATTTGAGGGATTTAGATAAGAGGAAGTGTCGCTGGCCTGTTCTGTCCCAGATATCCCTGAAACGTGTTTGCAGGGAAGCTGGGAACCTGCTCTTCTATTCTGACTTGGCATATAATACACATGCTACACACTAGTTGTGTGAAGATTGATGGTGAAATTTTATAACCTAAATAGCACATTTTGTTTGTTTAAGTAGGCTACGTAAGTCTCAGAGTATCCTTTGATGTCTCATGAGGAAAATCTGTGAATTTTGGGTAAAGGGAGTGGTCATGAATTTTTAGGAGGCCATTTTGTCCTTATTCTCTGCTTCCAGTGTTTCTCTTCCTGGAACATTACAGATCTGAAGAGAATAGTTATCCTTGCTCTTTTTTCCTAACTTCAGAGTGCTGCTGTTTGCTGCCAGACCTCTTTCTCAGTGCAAAACCACAAGAGCAATGTAATTCAGTGTTAGGAATCATCTACTGAGATTTTCTTCACTTTTGGTTAAAATCCAAATTTATCATACAAATATAACTTAAAATTAAAAATACAAGAAGATAAATTTATGTAAGCAGAACACTGAAACAATAAAGGAAGTATCTACTTTAAAAATACAAGCTGGTCTTAAAGAAGATTGGATCTGTACTGTGAAGGTACTTTTTTTCAGTGTGTGTGTTTGAAGTTACCTGTGTATATAAATAGTGAGGGGGGAAGCAGGAAGATGGCAACGTCCTAAAGAGTGTACAGACTTCAGAGCCTAGGTCTGCAAATAGCGTATCATTTGAGAGGATGTACTTTGCACCAATTTCTTTGAAAATTGTTATTAAGTCTGAATCTAGTTGTAATTTTTAAGCAAATAGTATTCTGTCCCGCCAGCGTAATACTGTTACAAGATACTCACTTTGATTTCAAAGCAGTGGAAGAAACCAATGAATCTTGTTTACCTGGAAACACAAATATCAGCTTACCATAGCTGGTTAGTATGCTTGTTTTCTGTCAGCGTCTGGTTTTGTTTTCTTGGGGGGTTTTTCTTGTTGAAACAGTGTGTGCAAGCGCAGTCAACAAGTACTTAATATTTCCTTTTGAATTTAAGGGCATGTTGACTCTGTTGTCCTAACCGTAGAAGTAGTATCTTTCTAAGATGTGCAAATTAAGTGGGGAAGCAGTGACATTTGGAAGTGAAGTTCAAAGCATATTGTCAATGCAAATCCACCCATTAATTAGATTTCTTCTTCTGTGACACATCAGTTTTCTATTTGTGTTCTGTCTGAGGTTGGAAGCTGCCTTAAAAGTCTTGGTTTGAGTGTGTTTTCTGAGGCTATACATATCAGTTGTCTTTGGCTTACTCAGGGATTTTTATTCCTCTCTTTAAATGTCAAATAATGAAGATATTTTTGTATTATTTAGAAAAACCTTCAAACCTCAGAGTGAGATATATATAGATAGACTTGGGTTTGCAATGCAGTCTGTCATATGGTGTCAAACTATTCCACATGAGAAGACTTTCGTACTTCAGATTATCTGTAATTAACTATACAGTGTGTTCATTTCTTTTCTTTTTCTGGCTCTTTATAAATATGTGAGATATTCTTACAGTCTTTGTAGCTGTTTTCACTCTGCTTTGTTTGCCATTTTCAGTTTCTGATGGGACTTCAGAAAGATTTGAAATTAAGATGTGAGAATAAAATGCATTAAAGGGAACGTATTAGATCTGCACTTATTTATATTCAGAAAGCATGTCATTGTGGGTGGAGGAAAGGAACACGCATCTCTGCTCCTACGTTATCATTTCATCTAGGCCATTTTTATTTTATCCGTACAGATTAAATGAAAGGGAAATGGTTCATCATTTTTTACACGTAGCAAAAAGAGGCATCTTTGACCTTGAAAGACGAAGAGTCTAATCTTCCTCTGTCAGTATACAAAAATAATAGGAATGACAATAATACTTGCTTTTCTGTAGAACAGAGACGTATTTCAAGAGGCAGTCAGAGTAGGAATATGGAAGACTTTTTCCATTCCTATTAAAATATTCCCACTTTAATAGTACATAAATACAATTTTCAATTAATATTAAGTAACAAAAGCAACTGAAATAGTAGTTTAATACAAAACTTCATTCAATAAAATGCTAGCTTTTAAACAGTTCTTCATATCTTGTTTCAAATCCTACATACATCAAAGGCATGTCATTTGTTTTACAAGAATTAAGTTATCAGTTTGAAAGAAATTGAATGAATTTAATTGAAAGGAAATTCAAGAACATTTTTATTATGTAAATGTGTTCAGGTTTTTTTATAACTGTCCTCTAAAGAAACCATCAGATTGTCCTACTCCATCTTTATTAACAGAAAACTTCATCAGGCAGCTGAAATAACCTGCGAAGGCAGATTTCACACTACTGTATGTTGATCATCGCTGATCATCAGGTTTGCTTTCATCGCGTTTAATATTTAAGATTGCTTATCCTTATGCAGAGTTGTTGCTCACTGATACCTGTATTTGAACTCTAGGAAATGCTTAAATCCATTCTACCTAGCATTCTGTTTCAAGCTTGCTTGGAAATGGCTCTGCCCATGCTCTTGAGTCTCCTTGCATGCATGCAGTTGGAGCTGGTGCCCTCCCTGCAGCGCCATGCCATGTGTGTTCTGTCCTGCCTGTGCGGGAGGGGACTGCTTTCCCTTTAGTCACTAATAGTAATTGGTTGTATTTCACTAACTGGGTCAGGTTTCAGGGCTGCTCAGCCATGTCAATAGCAGGGTGATTCTGACTGCTGTGGCATCTTGGAGCATAGTTAGGTATATTTGCAGAGCTTATCCAGGAGCTTGTGACTGGAAAATAAATGTGCTTTTCCTTGTGTCAGCCTATTAGACAGTGAGAATACAAGCGAGAGGCAGAAGTGCAGTTTTGAGTAGCCTTATGCTGTATCTGACCCATCTGTTTTAGACCCATGTGAAACAGTCTTCATTTCTCACCACCTCTCTAATAAACAACATTCATATCTTTCAAATGTCATTAAACACAGTCACTTTGAGTGATCCATTATCTTCCTTTGGGGCAGTGCAAATGTGTAAGTAAGATTTTGTATGGCTTTGGTATTAGTGATACTGACTTTGTAACTCTTCCTGGTATGTTAGATGCTTTTTCATTTACATCTATTTGTTGGTTCTGAAAGTTTGATCAACGTGAAGTTTTACTTTATTAAAAATATTAATTTGCAGGGACTATTGCCAATTAAACAAGAAAGTGTTTGGGATCACTGTCTGGTATTCCTTTTAGCCAAGGGGCTTTCTGCTCTTCCAAAAGCCGCCGTAGCTTGTGTGATGTGTAGGTAGGGCAGTAATTCTGTTAGAGCATACAAATTCTTCAGTGATTGAATGGTTTCTCTCACCAGTTAGATATGAGAAATTGTTTTAATATTCAATGGCCAAATAGTTTGCCATGCAGACTCTTTTATTATTATTATTTAGTTGTGGTGGTTTGTTTCTTGAGCAAACTTGATATCATTTATAACTCTTGGGATGATTGTTGTGTAGCACTGAGCTGTGGATGAGAACCATGGATTTTTTTTTATAGTTTATATTAGATCTCAGATTTTGCTGATGGAAAGAATCCTATCCGAGGAAGCTGTGGGAGAGAGAATTTCTTGGTTTCTTTTAATTTTGCAGCCTTACAGTTGCCAGTAGGTCAGCTTCATTCCTGACATCTGTCATAGCCCTGTTTAAACCAGGGAAGTTGTTATGCTAGTGTGGAGTTGGGTCACAAATACTTCAATAAAAGTATCTGGAAATGTATTGAAGCCATTGTGCAGCAACTTGAAAACCTGGTTCACTTCTGAAGAAGTGCAAATTACCATGGAGCCAGTCCTCTCACTCGCAGAGTGATGCTATTTCCTGGGAGGGCAGGGAGTAGTGAAGAATTTCCAGATGAGATTCTTACTAAAGCAGATTGTCAGGGGAAGGAGTACTAGCTTTTAATGTCATAGAGACCTTCTTAATGCTTCAAGTCACTAGTAAAGTTAGAAACAACATCCACAGACAGTGTTAAATAACATACCTGAAAATTCTTTATTCATATAACAGATACTAACATGGTGCAAGAATTGGAATTCCAGCTCTTCAGTATGTTTTAGACTTCAGACATAAACTTGAAAAAGAGGGCACATCCAGAAAGTTACATTGCTGATATATTTGGTGGCTAGTCTTGCTACTGTTACATGAAAAAACAGCTGCACTTTGGTTCAACTGCAAGACTAGAAGTATTTTCACTTGAGTGCTACTGAAGCTATAACACAACACCCCCAAACTTTTTGGTTAATAAAACTAACAAATGTAGCTTACTGCAGTTACATACTGTTGCTTCCTGGCTGATTCTTCCTTATCTGTCTGTGCATAAGGGCTCAGCATCTATATGTTCTCTCTCCAGTAAGGAATGGAACGCTCACATTAGGCAATTAATTGCTGGTGGACCTCTTAGGCTGACAGTGAAATACCATGAGGTAGGGAAATCAAAACTGATCTTGGAGTGCATGCTTTGATTTCAAAGATAAAAATGTGTACTAAGCTTTAATTATGTGCTCCTTAGTAAAAATAGATGCATAAATTTTGAAGCATAATTCCAGCTGTTTATAAATACATTTGTTTAAAAAACAGTAATGGAGTAGTTATAATAGCAGTTAGTTTATTAAAAAATATCACTGTGCAAAAGAAAATCTTTTGGAGCTTTTTTGGCCAATCAGAACTTTAAAAAAAAAAACAAAAAAACCCCAAACAAACAACAACAACAAAACAAACAAAAAAAAAAACACACCAAAAAACCAACCTAATCTGAAAGGGTTTGAATGGATCAAAGTCATAAGAGGAATAACTTACTATGTCAAAAAAATTTGATGTTTTTAGCATAAACATGGATTTTGCACAAACCTGGTGAAACACATGGTAACCCCATTCAGTGTTGAAAACGTGTCATTCTGAAAACAGTATTGTTTAAGTTTTAATCCACTGTCGCTGAGCATGATGTTACTAATACAATGCCACATTTACCTCATTTTTAGAAGGAAAATCTACTTACAGAATCCAGACAAGCTGTTCAGACGTTTTAAACCTGTCCTGTAAAAGTGCTGATGCAGTCAAGAAGTATTTCCATGCCTTATGCAAGTTCCAGCTAAGCAGATGGATTCAGTCTTTAGTCATGGACTGTATTTCTCATAAACAAAAATGCACTCTCAATAAGACTTCTTCATACCAATTTACATTCTGCTGCTTCATGTCCACAACTTCCAAGGACAGGAGTAGATCTACGTTTCACTATGTTTACCATCTTGTAATAAAATGTTTACCATATTTCCATTTGTTATACACTTTATTTCTAATGCTCTCCTTTTCCTTCCACATTTTGTAACTTGAAACTGACTTGTGAAAATGGCTGAAGATGAAATTGGACCTGGAAAATGTGATCTCATAGCAAGTTTCCGTAATGCTCTGCTGAGCTATACCAGCAAAAGATTGATTCTGTTGTATTGAAATTACTTGAATGCAAAATGCTGAAATCTGTTTTTCTTCAGGGCTTTTAATTTTGCATTTTTTTAAATGTAATTAAAAGCACAGTCACCTTTGTTACATTACTGTCTGAGTTCAAATAACTTTTTAAGGTATTTGTTAACTCGTGACTATGGTAGAGATAAGAATAATAGGTGCTGAAAAAAAGAAAACATGATGTTTGAGGGGATTGTCCAAGCTGGACTTTATCTTAATTCCATGACAGTTCAATGAGAAATATTCCTCTGCACCCATTCCTTTTATATATTTTATGGTGAAGTATTCCTTTAGAATCTGGTTAATTTGAATAGCAGGAGATGAGGGTAGTGAGATGATAGATTACATCCTTTTAGTGTAAAGGATTCTGGCACAACTAGAGTGCTGGCCAAAACACTGTAGATTCATTAAGAAAGCAATTTCTAACTCCACATTTGGGCTATATGCACACTAGATGCATCAGTGATCAGAACTTTCTGTAGTATGTTTACTTGATGACTAAGAAGTTGTAACAGCTGGAGGTAGGCAATACCCATGTAATCAGTGCTTGAATTCCAGTATTCAGTGTGTTTTTTATAATGAGGACTTTTAAATGTGTGCCTTACTGCTTGAAACAAATGAAACGTGTTCGCTCCCCTCCATAGAGCAATATGGGAATTCCAGTTCTGTGAACTCTTCCAGACAGACCTGTTAAGCCAAAGTAACCAATAATGGTTTGTCCAGAAAGCTGAAAAATGTAGGGTAGAAGTTATCTTTTTATGATTTATAAAAGTAATCCAGCATGCCTATTTTAACTCTGACCTTGATCTCATTTCTGAGTTTTTAACTTGCTGTTCACTCTTCCCTCCACCCCTCCATTTCCTTTCAGACTTCTGCAGAAATGCATCTTACATTGTCAGGATGAGTTTGGTCTTCCAGCTAACTAGCTAGGAATTTTCAACCACATAAGGAAATGCAACTTCTTGGAGAATTCAACTCCAGGGTTTAAATGGGCTCTGTCAGCACTAATTCATGAAAGTGGAAGTGCTGAGGAGCTTGGCGCACGGAGGTGCACTAGGCTGAGCATTTCAGTGGCATCCAACTTGAACTAACACATGCTGTTAATTAAAGTTGGTAATTCCTCTGGGGTGGGTATCTGGATGGACCAAACCATCAAACAGTCTTGGTGGAGCAGCTCTGGCATCTCTGCCCAAGCCTTCACTACGTGGTGGGAGGTGTGGTCTGAAGAAGTAGCATTCGTTTTACTATCTTCAGGTAGCCTCATAATAGATTCTGTAGAGTATCTTCTGGGATTACCTCCTTTCCCAGAAGACTCTGGAATTTCACCTTTCATGATCTAGATATTCTAAAGGATCTGTTTTGTTTCTTTTCTTGCTAACATTGCTGCCACTTTTGTCCACGTATTGGAAGTCAGGTGCCAAGAATAAGCTACTTCTCTAAAATTGTCTTGAATTATCTTAAAAAAAAAAAAAAAAAAGTGTTATAAAACTGTCAGAAGGAAATGGAGTTAATAAGGGGGGGGGGGGGGGAAGAGCAAAACTGATGCTTAGAAGGTCTATTTCCTGCAGATTCATGATCACAAAATGGTTTTACTATGCTCAGTTTCTTCTACTAAGAATTTGTGAAGGAAGAAAAGAAGAAAGTGAGGGAGAAATGAAGAAGAGTATCTCTGAATTTTCTCTTCTCCTGAAATTTCAGAACAGTAGGCTTCCTTCCACCCCCACCCCAGTTCTTAAATGGTAATATAACTTGAAGTGTTCTTTATGAACCATCACACACAAGTGTTTTATCAGGATTCAGCTTGCATATCTGAAGGTTTAGGGAGTTTGATTTAGAGCCATACTGCAATAAAATAATTGAAATATCACTTACAGATACCTTACTAACTTCTAGCTCAGTATTGTCTCATTTTTAGGCATTAACTAAGTCATTCTATAACCCACTGAATAGGAGGCACTATGTGTCAAAATGCTTGTTCAATCTTATGAATTACTATTTATTTTAAAGTTCTTTCCTTTAAATGAACTTTTTCTTGCAACCATCAGGCACACAGCCAAATAGCTGATAAGGGTTTTCCATTATCTTTCTTTTGCATTTAGCTGATAACTACTTTTCTGTTGCATAGTTTTGCAACAGTGGTCTTCATGCTGTAATAACTTGATGAAATATTTGGTGGTCTTGGGCAATATTATACAAATAATCCATCTTCAAGTTGGTATTTCAGATGTATACCAATAATTACTGTTGAGTGTGCTACCATTGTGTCTGCTTTAGTTTGTGTCAGTGTTTCGTCTGGATTATTTCTTGCTACCCTCCTCAGAGTGCCTTTTAATTTACGAGGTCTAGAGATGGTTCACTGAAGTCTTGTGTTCAATCTAACACAGTAGTGTCTGATTTATAAACTTGTCCTGATGAATGTATAACTGAAATCCTGTTCTTTAAGAAGCTGTAGTAGACGCAGGTTGTATATGCACATGTACATGCATGGGTAAAAGGGAAGGTGTTCTGCCAATGTTTGTCCTGCTGGACAGGACCTTTTGAGAGTAAGTGAATTTTTTAACAGTTTTATTTTCAAAATGTTACCTCACTAGTATTCAGCAGTAGGTATGTCTCTGTACTGCTTCACTTTGCTAAATACAATCACAATCACGGTAGGCAGTTTAATTTAAAAGACCCTGCGATGAATCTGGTGTCCGTATTCAGAGTTAAGTTCCTAAGTCAA